TCTTATTGGAACTTGGAGGACATTGTGACCCAACAGATTTAACATGAAGCAGTCCCTATTTGTTATACGGCCGGCTATCTTCGCTATTATAACCGGCTATCTTCGGCCGGCTGGATTTGAACTCCTGTTCTCACGAACATAAGCCCAGCTCCCTACCAATCAGGCTATTTAAATAATAATATAAGTAAGGTTGAGCATATAACTGAATTAAAGATATCACTAGCCCATTATAATTTAAACTTGATGACAATAAAGCCTAGAAATAAAATATTCCACTTCTAAATATAAATTGAATAATAATTTGTTAAAAAACGCTTTAACTTTTTAGAAATTCGATTTTTCAAACATGTTTCAATATTGTTGTTGAATAATAAAAAGTTTTAGATTGACACGGTTTATATAAATAAAAGTTTTGATTACTGTCAAAACTTTTTATTATTCAACAAGCTTTAGATTGTTGTTGAATAATGAAAAGTTTTGATAGTATGACTAGCTTTTGAAGGTATTTTTTACAAATCAAATGTTTATCTGAATACATATGGGGACGTGAATAGATTGGTATTTAAATAATAAGATGAATAAGTATACTAATTATAATATACAATACAGTTTAACATATAACTGCACTGTAAAAAGAAACTATTTAATTTACGGAAAAAATATCAACTGTTCTATCAACTGTGAAAAAATACTGTTATTTAAAAGCAGAAGCCTGTTTTTTAAGCAGATAAGTACTGTCATTTTAACAAAAAACTCTATAAAATATATACGCCGGCATTGTGGCGGGTGACAACCGAGAGCAGCATTCATTCGACTTGTCGACCTTTGGATTCGAACCGGAGTCACGTCATTCAGAAGCGTGTTCTCTGTCTTTGAGCCACCACAACTCTAGTGTCTCTCCATAAAGAAAAATCTTAAATTTTTTTTACTGTTAAAATCTTACTTATTGAAATAATGCTTAAGTGTAAAATTATTTAAAACTTATAATGGTCCACTCGTATAAAAATATTTGTCAATTTTACTTGCTAAAAAAATTATATTTAAAAAAATATAATCATGTAGAGTATCAATCTGATAATGAAATCAAATCGCGGCTTTAGTTATACAATATTCAAAATCAAAAAACAATTACTGAAGAACTGGATCGTGTAAAGAAAATAATCGTAAAATGATTTGAAAAAGAATCGTAAAATGATTCGAAAAGAAGCAAAACTGCAGACAAAAACTACAATTTGAACTGACAGTTTCAATCCGTTTTATGATTAGGATGAAAAACGGAGAAAAACCGTTTTATCAACAAAACAGCATTAAACCGACAAATAAGCAGAGAAAATCTATGAAAAGATGGGAAGTTTTTTTACTGCATGAATACATAAAGAACCACATTATCTATTGGTAAAGTCTTTAAGTGCAGAACTTTTTTTTTCTTAAAAAAAGTTCTATTTTCTTTTAAAGAGTTTAACTACCAGTTCATATCTGAAAAATACATGATACAAAAAGTGTACAAATAAAGAAGAACTAGAGAAAAAATATGACTTCAAATTCAATATTTCAAAAGCAAAAAAAGCGTAAAAAGTAGAGAATTTGCCAATGATGAACTTAGGGCAGCAGTAGCCAGGGGCTAGAACCCTCGCCTCCCAATAAGGTGACCCGGGTTCAAGTCCCAAAAGCTAGTTGATACGTATTCCGCACCCGGTTCACACCGACCACAGTGCTGGCGTAAAATATCCTCAGTGGTAGACGGATCATTGGTTAGGAAATTTTCGTAGTTTTCCTCTGTATGCAACGCAACTGCGGGTTAATTCCATCAAAAAGTTCTCCATGAAGGCAAATTTCTTCCAATATTTGATTCAAGAGTACCTTTGTCTTCGGGACTGCCTTTACGAAAATTTAAGGTATTTTTGTGGTTTACATGAGGTTGTTTTGAGGTGTTAAGATTTATTTGAGATCTATTAGAAATCGATTTCAAAGACAACTTTAAAAGATCAACCTCCCAAGGTGTATAATTAAAGTATATGAAGTTGTTTTATTTACACTTGAGGTTTTTTTGAGGTTGATGGAAATCTACTTTAGAGAAACCAGCTTAGGTAAATATTTTTCTATTTCCATTTTAAAGCAAATACGTATATTTAAGGAGTGCATAATTTCACACGATCTAAACTAAAATTATTTCTGAGTTATATATGAGGTTGATTTTGTAAGGTGTAAATGACGTTGAAATTGAGCTTATTTTTGCTGCAAAGCATAACCTCATTTTCTACCTCAGGTGTATTTTTTTACATCTACCAACCTGAAATCAACCTAAAAAGCACCGTATTTTTTTGTTAGGTTGGGTTCAAAATTACAAGGCTACGTAAGTGAGACGTAAACTCAAAACTGGGTCGATCATTCAACGACGGTTATAAAATAAACAAAAAAAAAACTTAGATTCTTAATATTTCTAATCAATCCGTCGAATTTTCGGGGCAGCTTGTTTATTTTAAAATAAATGTCGTCGTGGTAAAAAATGACTTTACTCTCAATATAAACATCACCTTCTTTTCTTTCTGACGCGTTGAAGTAATATTCTTCAAGCAACCGCAACCGTTCTAAAATAAAAGATAATAACTCCCCTCAAAAACAGATAAAACTAGATGATGCGGAGTCACGTGTAAGAAAAATATCTCCACTCGCGGTGACAATGTCATGTCAAATAGCAGATAATAAATGTATCGTTTTCCCAAGCATCTGTTGCAAAGACAAAAGTTAACGTCATGCCATGACTTTACAGCCTATTCAATTAAACTAAAACAACCGGGTTTCCTTAAACTGAGTGACATCTAAAGAAAAACACACTGATTCCCGCAGCCGTCTTTGACAGTTTATTATGAGAAAAATGTCCTCCTTCTACCACTATTGCAAAATTAGAATTGGGATAAATGAAAAGATGGTAGCATGTTTCCTGTCTTAATTAAAGTTTTGTTTCGGGAATGTGGGGCTGCTTTAATCTTTTGGACAGTTAGAAGACCCAAGTTTTTGGCTACTTTGCATGCTCACCGTCGAACTAACTTTTGTTTTTAAATATCTAGGCCTCGTCTAATTACTTTTTCTTTTTATTTAAAAGAAAAAAGACTCTCTAAGTTTGTTCATATTAGTTTTCTAGGTTTAAATAAAGGAAATTATGGACGAATGCAATATATTTCTGCGAGGCGCTGCGCTATTTTGAAATGTTAGGATTAGACCAAGTTAATTAGAAGCGAGTTTTTTTACCTTTATTTTTATTTCGATACTAAGTTTTAATAATATCTATTTTGTTTCCTAAGTTTTTTATAAGCTTTTTAACTATCTCCTCCTTAAAAATATTTAAATTTGTTCAATCACTTCCACATTGAAAATGATATCGATGTATTTTATAATATGCATACGAAGAAAATTTAAATTACCACAAAGGGAGCCATGGTGGCTCAGGGGATCGAGCATTTGCCTTCCAAGGAGGTGACCCAGGTTCGAATTTCAGCGGAGACTGGTTGATGCAAGTTCTGCTCCCGACTCGCGCTGACCACAGTGTTTACATAAAATATCCTCATTGATAAACAGATCCTTAATTAGAATCCCCTTCTCATCGGGCTAACTGCGGGTGGTTTTCCTCTCCATGTAACGCAAACACTGGTTAATCCATCCAAAAAGTCCTAATTTGTCCCAATGCTTTATCTTGGAGTTCCCTTGTCCTCTGGGTTAGTTTAAAATTACAGGGCTCTAAAGCGGAACATTTATAGTTATAAACTCAGGATTAAGTTGGCTGTCCAAAGCCGATTATTAAATAAAATACCCATTAAGGCAGTCGGGATAACCCGGATAAGCCGTTTGCTTCTTCAGAAGCGAATGCTCCATCCGAGATGGCAAAAGTTCAAATCCGTGAAGTAGCAGGTTGATTTGTACACTGCTCCCGGCTTGCAATGATCACAGGGTCGACTAAAAATATCCCCAGTAGGTTAGAAGCCACCTGACGTCAGGCTAAACATGGGAAGTTTTCATGCCTCTCCATGTAACGCAAGTTCAGGTTATTTTCATCAGAAAGTCCTCCGCGAAGTCGAGTTTGTGGCAATATTTTTTATTACTGTCCGCAGATTCTATTTAACTACTACATACCTGCTACCTTTTAACCTTTTACGCTTTTCAAAAAAGTGTTCTCCTTGTGGTAGTGAAATGAAAATTGAGATGGCAGTGTAAGCTAACATTCAATTCACATTTAGCCAACACTAACAACACAATAAAATAACAAGCATGCCTGATATAAATATGTTTAAACTAGGGGTAGTGTTATGTTATTTGTTAAATGTAAGGGTAGTTAAAATCAATTTCAAATAAATTTGATTTTTAAAAAAAAGCCAAGTAGGAATTTAGAAATCTTACGACTGCATTATAAAAATAGAATATTCACGAAATACGGAAGAGCTGCATCATGTATATCAGACTGGTCAAATTGAGGAGCAACCCACCAGAAGCTATTGAAAATCGAAGGGGATGTTGGTCCACTAGCTGTGCACCCGCATTGCCTTTAGTCTTTTTTAAGTCTTGTGCTTTTCCATATTGTCGACTATTTCCTAACTATGTCTGTATCTCCATGAGTCATATCAGATCCCATGAATCACTAAGAGCCCACCAAAGCTGGTACTGAGTAACAAGAACAAGTCTAAGTATGGTTTGTCTAAAGTAAGAAAAACCCTAGTCATTCGTCTGGACCCGTGGCAGTGATTGTGGTAACTATTTCAAGAACGTATAGAATATGGTATGGTATAACTATTTCAAGAAGGGGTGTGACGTCATTGTTTAAAATTGGATTAGTCGGAAAGAGAAAGAATTTTAGGTCTATTGCGTTAGCCCTAGAGTGAAGGGAATATACCGTCCATGAACTGCACCATTCCTGTTTCCATAGCAGCAGATGACCTGGCAGGGGGAGCTCTTACCGCAGACAAACTATAGATATGCATCTGTTTCATTGTTTTCCTTTCTTCTTGCAGGAATATTTTGTGAATAATGCTAAAATCACTCGCTCCGAAGAGTTCGCTTCCATGGAAGGATTCAAACAGCTTTTATACGTAATAGATGAAATTCTACAACCTTTTGTTTCCAGTAGATCCCTCCCACCCACAGCTTTCGAGCTTTTAGAAAAACCAGATCTCTATGAAATCCGAGAACCCCTAAGGTGAGAATTTAAGATTATTATTTATTTATACCATTTTATCAAGAGCAAAGCAGCAAGGAGAGAAATTGAAAATCCATCTCTTTGCAAACTGCCGCCGTCATTTGTTAGCCTTATTGCATTGGGCCTCATAGCCGGCTTAAAAATCCGACGGATTTTTCCCCAAAACCGCCAGGAATGAAATAATTTATTTTCCAGTTTTTGCTCTTTTCCATCTTGATATATATTTACTTTCAGCCTTTCCTAATGGGCGTGTTATTGCGAGGTGACGTTGGCAACTTGCAAAGAGCCTGTATTTTCCATTTCATGGACCACTTATGACTTTGGGAATAAAGTGATTTCCTTCCAATGAGGTGAACCTAGTTCAAATCCCAGGCTGCTCAAATCCAGGAAATGGCTGTTCAATCCGAGTTCTGCATCCGGCTTACACAGACCACAGTGCTGACGTAAAATATCCTCGGTTGTAGACGGATCATGGGTTAGAGTCCTCTTGCAATCAGGCTAACCATGAAAGGTGTTCGTGGTTTTCCTTTTTAGCAACCCAGATGCGTGTTAGTTACATCAAAAAGTCCTCCACGAAGACCGATTTCGACCGATACCTGATTTAGGAGTTACCTTGTACTCTAGATTGCATTCAAAATTACAAGGCTACGAAGTTGAACATTAGTTGTCGGCTGTTCAACGACCATTATAAAATAAAATAAAAATTAATGGAACTAGTTCAAATTTTGATCACTAGACGAGAAAAGGGCATCATATAGACCACAAATCCGCCTTTTTAACATACCTTAATGAAATCATAGAATATGCTTAATGTGCCTTTCATTTTTGTCTAACACGTTTTTGAAAATGTGTTAAATTGATTTCAACTGTAGCAAGTTGGTTTTTTTTCGAACTATAGCAACAACATGATATGATATGCTTGATTTCAATTCATTTCCATATAAAAGGCACTTTCATTTTGTTCCTTGCAGCGCAATAATCATCGCTTTCAATTTTTTTTTCTTCTGTAATGGCATGGTGTAGAATGTTTTTATGCAATGACTGATTTTTAGACTGTTTCGTTTGACTTTATGTGTAAACAGCGACCTCTATCTCTTGAAATGTGAACTATTTTTATTTAGGATTTTTTTTTCACTTGTCTTATATAATACTTATTACAAGACATCATTCCAGCAAAACTGTAATTCGCCCTTTAATGAATAAAATTGGAGTGAGTCAAACTTATCCCAAAACCGTAATAATTAAAAAGTAATATTCTTACTTCTAAATACTTTCTGGAAATTCGTAAAAGAATTGTAACTATACATATTTTGAATTGTAAGAGAGAAACTTTATTCGAATTTATATTTCTGTAATATCTCTTTTTAAAAAATGTTTTTGTCCCATACTAGTTGGCCAGTGTGGACAAGACATAATTTTTTTTTCACTTATGTTTGTTTTCATTAATGCTTAGCTCCATACATATCGGTTTATGGAGACAAACATTAGTCAGAGCCAGCGCAATAATATTAAACATTACAACGAGCAATAAGAATAAGATTAAGAACATTCATTAAAAAAGAAAATTTCAACACTATATAAAATTCTATTTCAAAGGCCAATTACCATATTAGAAATCTATTTATAATAATTTTTTAGTGGAAAAATTTTAATTAAATGGAATAGACTTGATTTCTTTTTTTATATATATTTGTCCTTTATCTTTAGAATGTTGAAGCTGACTCTGAGAAAATTTGAAGTTCAGTAACAGAACTGAATCAAGATTTACTTATATTATATCATTTAATTTTGTTCAATATTTTTAGTGCATTAAATAACAGTACATTTAATATTTAATTTTTTTTTCATAATTTTTAGTGCATTTAATTACCGAGTAAAACAAGAAGAACTAAAAGAACTATTTCAGCGAGAAGGCAACCACACATTTTTCCTCCCAGTTGGAGCAGGAACAGGACACAGCTTGACATGGAGCAGGAACAGGCAACAGGAAGTTGACAAATGGGTAAATAATAAAAAATAATTCCTTGGGTAATTGCACTGAGAGAAGATTTTAGTGATAGATTAGGTTTGATGACATTTTGATGACATTTAATGACATAAGTTTTAGAAAACTACCGGTTATGTAGTTATTTAGAAAACATTCTTTTCCGGTGAAAATTAATTCGAAGAATAAATTCATGTTCTGTACTATCTTGCAACTTAATGTATTCTTTAATAAAGTAATTAAGTGTTTTGATGCCAATAAGCCTGTTTTTACTTTAAACCATGATTACCATATTCCATTGAAAAACTGTGTGAATAAAGCTTCCTAATGACTTTTTTTGAGAATTTGGGAAAACTTCTGACAGTTATTTGGAAAACATCTTTTTTCCAATAAGCACTATTTGAAAGTAAAAATTAATATGCAATACTAGCATCTGACCGTTATGAGCTTAATATGTTCTTTAACTGAATAATTTAATGTTCTTATACAATTAAGGATGATTTTCCACTGCGCTCTTCAGTTGAAGAGCTGTGTGGATGAAAGTTCTTTAACATATTAGAGAATTCGAAAAAACTACAGTCAGTTAATGAATAAACTAATGAAAGCTAATTAAAAGCATTAACTGATATTCCATATTAGCCTTTAAGCATATTCTTCCATTAAGCTCTTGAAGAGCTGTGATGGTGAAAGTTTTGTGTGACATTTCAGAGAATTTGAGTAAATTATATTTAAAGTTTATACGGTGACTGTTTATATTAAATATTATGTCATGTTTTAGTTTCTTAACCGAAAGCTTCTGATAGGAGAAATCTACAAATCTCCAAAACCAATTTAAAGTGTTCACGACACAAACTTCATATTTTGGGCATTTAACTTCATACCACATTACAGGTTTTCGAGGATCACTACTCGTCGACTACTTGTTGCTAAATTCACTTAGAGCAGCACTCTTTCACCCCAAAAACATTCATAAGCTTTTTTCATCCACTGTGATCTTGAAAATCTAAAGACTTAGCAAAATAAATCAATTTTATATAGTCAATAAGACTTTTTAAAAAAAATAGAGTCTCGGTGCTGCCATCTAGTGTGGTAAAAACTAGACGTCCAGATTAACATGACCAACGGTATCTCACCCATTGTGGTGGTCCTGAAAGAGTGGATACCACCTCTGGAGAACGCACTAGGTCTGCTCATCGGCAAGACGGATTGTGCAGCTCATTGGAAGTAAAATTAAAAAAACTTTTTAAAAAAAAAAAAATTTCCTCGGGAAATATCGTTTTGCAAAAATGCCTCTCCGTCAACAAGGCTCTTCGATAGCTTTTTTTTACAAAGGTATTTAAAATATTAAACTTAAATGCTTATTTATCTATGAATACCATATCTCAAGATTTCATTTCAATATCAAATCTTCAGATTGTTAAAGCAACTTTGACAATAGCCTGCTTTCAACCTGAAAGAAGTAACTAAGCTTATTGTTGGAAAGAGAGGAACTCGCCAATCAGAACCAATTTTAATTGTGTGTTTTAAATAATATAATCTAATAATTTGATTTATAGACCTAATATGCATTGTTCTTTCTAGGTAATACGTGGTCATGTAATACCCAAACATGTCCTGTTTACACGATTAGTCACAGTTGACAGTTATCCTAGTGAAGCTTATGACAAAGATATTAAAGTAGAATTATCCATCATTAACGAATCAAAAGCGTTGGGGAACTCATACGTTTGTAAGTTTTTAACGATTATCTTGAAATCCACCTTTATATTGTTGAGAAGTTTAAATATATTACGTGTTTCTTACTGATCACCCTTAATCTTTGCCAAAAATGATAAAAAACAATTTACACATTAGGAATTGCAAATTAATATTTAACCGTTTGCATTCGTATTAACTTTATATATAATTAAGTAAAATTAAGACATATAAAAAATCTTTACAATTAAAATATAAATGAAAATATAAATGTGTGTTTGCAAAACAGTACTTCATCAGGGGACACACTGCCTGCAAACACACTGAAGCCTTTCTGTTGTTAGTGGAATTAACCAAAACTAACAGTGGCCCGAGGCACTGTTAGTTTTGGTTAATTCCACTAACAACATAATTGTCATATTGTCAGAATCAATTTTATACATAATTGTCATATAGATCAGAATCAATTTTATACATAATTGTCATATTGATCAGAATCAATTTTAGCTAAATAGACATAAAATGTTGAATAATGAACAAAATCACTAAATCACGTGATTTGTGATGAAACGGGGACCCTCAATGACGAAAATGTTTCCTCAACTCGAAATCTCATCGTAGTGCATTGATAGAGATTGTTAACTAATTGTTAACTAAAATAACGATAATAGAATAGAGACTAGACAATTGTAATTAATGGGGTGAATTTATCCTACCAGGTTGTATGGTGGTTAAGGTATTTGCCACGTTCTTGGAAGATCCGGGGTTCGATTTCCACTTCGGGCATGAGTGTATAGTTTATCTTTCTGTTTTTCTATATTTACAGTTCCCGCGTTAAAGTGATCGTTATAAAAGTTAGATACAGTAAGCACTACACTGTATTTTTTTTTTAAATAGAATGACGAAATACTTCTTTAATTTTGACGAAATTCGTTTCATTGAAAAAATGAAGAAAGTTATTTCGTTAGATTGACGAAATGTTTGCTCGGAGCGTATACCAGGAAATGGTTTCATCAAAAACGAAGAAAGTTTCGTAATATTAGAGTATCTATGCCTTACAGTGTAGACAAATAGCAGCAAAGGTTTAGGTGAAGTAAAAGCAAAAACGCTTTTGAAATTTAAAATAGTAGCAGTTCATTTACGTCGCACTAGAGCTGCAGAATGGGCTATTGACGACGGTCTGGGAAACATCTTTGAGGATGATCCGAAGACATGCCATCACAATTTTGATCCTCTGCAAAGGGGATGGCACCCCCGCTTCGGTAGCCCGACGACCTGCACGTGAAGTCGAGCACTTTACGGTAGAACAGTTTAACGAGGA